ATTATTTTGATCAGCAAATGCAATATCTGTGTTAATTGTCAAAATTGCATCAATTGTTTTCAAAAACAAACATTATTTTGATCAGCAAATGCAATATCTGTGTTAATTGTCAAAATTGCATCAATTGTTTTCAAAAACAAACATTATTTTGATCAAGCTTCGAATGGCGATGAAGTTTCCGAAATGTTGTCGAAGTCCTGTCGAGTTGTGAGTGAAAATCAGAGTCTGGAAGTGAATCGATGGTACAGGAGTAAGTGCGGTCAAGTAATATGTTTATGAATGCTTGACTGTACACCATTACTATGCCTTTCCAAATCCGTCAAATACTTGAAGTGTCCTTGATTGAGTGAATTTTGAGTAACACAAATTAGTTTCTTTCAAATAGTTCCTATCAAACACTGCAGTTGCGAATATGCTAGTCTTCAACTGTTAATGAAATGAACATATATATAGAAATATCACTCCAAAAAGTTTTTAGTGTCGGAAACATTGTCTGAAATTATCAACTTTTATTCAAATTTCTCACAGATTTCGTCTAATAAAAAATAGTTTTTTTTCAGCGGTTTTTTTAATACTTCTCTTTTCAATGTGTTACTTTTGCAGAGATAATACAGAGCGGTTGAAATATACCTATTCATATCCTCATGAAATGTTTTGGAAAGGATGATTTAATTTTCACATAGAAAACTTATCACATCATCTAAGATTATGTTTTAAGATAATCCATATAATAAAGGAGTCATTTGAAAATATAGTCAACATTCCAGGAACATAGTATATTTTGCTTTTTGTGTTTGTTGACTGTCGTTCATTTTAGTGGATTTCTCAACGTTTCACTCACTCTAGCGGTTGGTATCTTCAGGAGTACAAAAATCAATTTTTCCTCTCTCTAAATCACAGAAATCTTTGGGAAATAGACCATAGTTTCTTTAATTGTAATATGAACCAATGAAAGTGATATTTTCAGAGATACAGTTATGATTACAAAGCAGTTAATAGAACTCCGTTTCACTTCTAAAAATATTTTCAAATGATTTATAAACAAGTTTTTGGTAAATGTCTCGTCTTTACAGTTTTTTGGAATAATCTTTATTTGTATCTTATAAATAAATCTGTTTCAGTTTGTTAGCTAATGTTTGCAACTGCAGAATTTCAGTTTTAAATCGACCTGTCATCAGTGTTTGAAATTTTATTGAATTCTAATACTCAATTTCTGACTCGGAATTGTTTGCCAGTAGTCCTGGATATGATGTGTCTATATTCTTTTGGAGTCTGTGGTCCGATCCCTTTCAAAGAAGGGGAAACGGTGGATATTGCCTTAACTGTGAAGGGCATTTTCAAGCTATGTAGTACTCTCGACGCGCGATGTAAGACAGTTGTCTTACGGTTTTCGAGACTACTACGTTACTAGTGAAGATGCTCAGTTGCAAGCAAAACGGTCACACTGCAGTGTAAAGAATGCTCTTTCTCTCCAATTGCAATAAATATAATCTTATTTTGGCCAAATTTTCTTGACAGTTTTGTTGAATATTTCAAAGTTTTAGCGAAATAATGTCATTTGAGCCAAAGTGATACTTTTAAAAATCTATTATTAGTTATTTGTAAACGTAGATTATTCTATTTTTGGCTGCAGTGTAAATAGCTCGCATGTGTACAACTTAGTTTTAACATTATTTACTGTGGGTGTGTTTGCTACAATTATTTATTGAATTTGTATGTACCTGTGCGTTAATGTGTTAATTGTTTTATCGTATTTCGACTCACAATATTAATGGTTATGTTACACAAAAATTATTCTATTTATTCTAATTGGTAGAATTTAAAAGTATTTTTAAATTGTACTGTCACTATTATAGTATTACTAAGTATACCTCATTATTACTAAATTTTTTGTTCGAAAATTAAATTGTGTAGTTCGAAGTTGCTTTATTTTTCTTTCAACATCCTTATTCCTCGGTACTAAACTATATTTTCACTAATCCTGAAAAATATATTACCTTTAATTCATTATATACATGTTGTGCAATAGTTGATAATCTGAAATATCAAATAACAGTCATGTATACAATTTTTTTCACTCGGAAAAGTTTTACAAGTGAAAATGATTCATTCATGAGTTCATTCCATGTGTGAATTGACCAATTTCAGGTGTCAATTGACAAAAAGTGTATTAATAGTGCACATGCAAAAAGTGCCCGTTGACATACGTGGACTGTTCAAAAAATTAAGTGAATGTACATACATTCGATTAGCATGATCAATGAATTTGCATCAAATTTTGTGTAAAAATGTAATTGAGGGCTTAAAACACTTTAAATGTTGACAGTGGCATGATGATTGTACTCTGAGTCTGATAAATATTCCAAAATTGCTGAATTTTGATCAGGTAAATCAACATCAACCGCATTTTATAATTTTTATAATGATATGATATATATTGAAGCAGAAACCTGCCTTATCTTTTCTGAAAGTCTGCTGGTGATCATGGGAATACCGCAGAGTTCCATCTTGGGACCAGTGCTATTCATTTTGTATGTCAATGCTCACAGTATATTGAAACAGCTGACCTTATCATTTACCCTGACGATATTTCTTTGCTTATATCTAACACAAATCAACAAGTTCTAATGGAAAACTGTTCTCAAGCATTATCTAACACTTCATCTTGTATCTATAGTTCACATTTGCACTTGAATATAAACAAAACCCAAATTATTGGATTTCATATCCAAAATTCAGATATGTCGTATTTTCCCTTCAATGTAAACATTATCCAACATTTAAATACTAGTCCAAACTCAGTGAAACTTTTGGGTCTATGCATTGATGAGTGAATGAATCTATGGACTTACTGTGATAAATTAATCCAAAATTATACAGTTTTGGATATAAAAAGGTTTTCTGAAATAAACCAGTAATCAAATCTCTAAATTTGCCCCAAAATGTTATTGCCATTGAATAAAATTTAGGTAAAGGTTTATTCGACTAATTAAAAACAACAAAATTAATTTATAATAACGACTCCTCTATTACCTCTCTCTAATTCTTGAATTAAACCGGAAATTGAAATTGTGCTTGAAAAACATAGCTGGTTTATACAAATGTTTTGATTAAGGCGCCATCTGTTATTCAATAGCTGAGGATTTCAGTTAGAAATTTCATGAAAGAGCAATCTGTTTTGTAAAAATTTAAACTGCAAACAGAACTTCGGTTATTGTTGGATAGATGGCGATAACAATTTCAAAGTTAAAAAATTCGAATAGAAAACCAAATACTAATCTATTTTGTACCATTTTATAGGAAAACAAATTAGATCACCGTTTTATTGATATTTCAATAAAACAGGGAATAGGCTCTCAGGATATTTTTAACAAATATATCAATGTTTGATGTCCGGTTTTCAAATAAGTTCATAAACAAATAATTTATCTCAATCATTAGGAAAATCACTATATGATCTTATACCTTTCTGGGGAACATTGGATTCGATATATTCAATCAAGACTCTGTTCAATAACGTTTTGATCATATTTGTGTGATTATATGCGTATTTGAAGTTACACGACAGGTCAGGGCTCTTCCACAATATTCAATTTATGAAACTCGAAACAAAAATGGTTATCATAACCACCAAAACTTGAAGTTATTTAGTAAAATGAATGTAGGCTTTTCAATAAGTTATCAAAAACGTTTCTGGAAAAGAAAGCTTTTTGGCTGTCTAATTCTCCATCATCAAACAAAAAAATGTGTGGAACTTTCAAAAAAAAGGAGGAAAAATTAACTTCAATACAAACTCTGTATGAAAGCATACTCTGTGTTCAAACTGTTATTGAACATTTTGAAGCACTAGCGATGTCACTTCTCATGAGATGAGATACACAAACAAATCTAAATGACTCAAATCGGGTAACTGAGTAGGCCACTCAATCGCACCCCTTCGTCTTATACAGGGACCTCGAAATCAATCGTTTGAATTGAATAATCACAAACATTTTATGTACAAGCACCGTCTCATTAAAACATAGTATTCACTTCAATGTATGCAAGGTCATTACCCATTACTTTCATATCAAACGTAATACACCCTGAACTGAACAATAACACAATATATATCATATTAACCAATAACAACGGCTTGAATTCGTCTTTCTCGTGGCAGGGAATAACAAAATACCATCACTCCAATAATCAAATAGTAGTTATTGTCACAAATTCCCATTCATCTAGTAGTAGTAAGTAAAACAGTAACTGGCATTAATTATAACTACTATTGGTAAACAAAAGAATTTCTGTTAACGTATATTGTGATAGATAAATGTAAAATAATAAGATGAATCAAAATAAGGTAGTGTCAAGTCCTCATGTTCACTTGAAGCGTTATTCTCCATGTAATATTCACAAAAAATACAAATTGAGAATAAAGATGCGTGCATTGCAATAAAAGGACAGAGACAGCTCGTAAAATTTTTGCGAATATGAATTTTTGAAAACTGGCAAATAACATTATAAATGATTGGTAAATGACACTAAGTTATTATAAATTACATGTTTGAAAATATCTTTATAGGACGAAACTGCAGTAACGATAGTTACAAATGAAAGTGGTAAAAAATATAGAAAGTTTCAATACTCATTTTTCATCACACTATAAACTATAGCAAAATGTGGCACGAGAACTATGAACAGTGACGAGAGTTTTCAAAACTCGAAATAATACGAGATCGTCATTTACTCAAACACAACCGGCAAACGGAAAACAAAAATAAAAAAGAAGTTCACGGAGTTCCGTGTGTATGTAGTCAAACAAATGTACAGGGTGTTTCCTAATAATTGTGGTGAAAAATGTAAGGACGTATTCAGGAACTGATTAAGTGAAAAAGTTCATATGCGGAAACGAATTATTTCCAAGATGAAGGGTAATAAAAAATCCTTTTTTGTATTAATATTGTCAAAATCAGCTGTCATAACGATAAATATAACTTTTGGCTAATTGCAAACATCACAAACAATTTGTTGTTTTTATTTGCTTTTTTAATTTATTTTTTCTGGGAAACAAAGCAAGCTACGGCAATAAATCAAGGGATAAAAAAATTCTGTAAAAAATTAAATGTTACAACAAACGTCAGTACATTTTTTGGTCAATATGGTCAATGTTAACAGAAATCAATAGTGCCTCTCTGATACCTTTGTGAGGTATTTTGCATAAATGACTGTTGGATATAATTCAATATCCAGCGTGGTATTAGCCGAGGGTTTTCTTTTTTCTCATGTAATTACTTTAAAATCTGGGCATAAGTAAATAAAATGGAAAAAACTCATACAGGCACTTCAGTGATGTACGGCATATTTCCAAGTCCACCTCTGTAAATTCTTCTCCGTTAGCAATCGCGGTTGGTAACAGTACGACAAGAAACAAGAAACCTATAGACATTTCATATCCAAGAAGTAACAAAGCGAATTGAATAGTTAAGTGTCCAGTCCCAGTGAAAAAGTGAAAGAAATGTGGTGAAATTCAGTGTTCACAAACATACCGACACATGTGGTTGTGCCAAAAATGGGAAATACTTCGACAGTGATGTTGAAAATGATCCTGAAATTACCAATATCCTTTGTTGAATACTTTTAATCTCCAAATGTTAGGTTAAGGTATGTCAAAATGTCGTCGACCTTTTCTTTTGCCATTTACCCTACTTATTTTATAATTTAATGGGACTTTTCGAAGTGATTTCAACGCCCGATGTAGGTGCTAAACACAAAAGTGGAAAGTGTTGAGAATTCGTGTTTCAGAAAAGATCAGGGATTTAACAATATGCCAAGCCTTCGTATCATGTGACTGTTCAAGAATGTATTTGTGAAACATATAATGGATTACCTAGATGTGATTAATTCAATTGTAGATTCTATGATGAAATACCTATGCAGGCGGCATATACCTACCAAGATTACGGTGCCATAAAAATCTTGACTGGTACCTATTTGTTGATATAAACTATGTAGGTTAGAGGTTTCCATCGTTCACATTTTTGACTATATATGGAAAATATACTGGGTATAAAAGGTACGTAGGCTCTATTATTAATTCAACCGCATAGGTATTTTGTTTCTTACCTAATTTGGATTCGCGAATAAAATTTGCCCACCCCATTAAAATTCCTGATATACGCCTATGTAACTATTTTACCACATTATCTGAATACTCGAAATTCCTACTCCTTTCATTTGACAATATTTGTTTTTCTGCTGTGTTTCACTTTTCCTTTCTAGGTTCCTCTGTTTGGTCAGATTTTCCTTGATATTCCTTACCTTTTCCTCGTTTCTCTCACAAAGAGTATGGAAAAGTACGTATATGTGGAAACTCCTAGAAATCTCGCGAATTTATGATGAAAAAGCAAACCTATAATTAAAGTTCAACGAGGAATCTAATGATTGAATTGAATTTGACTTCGAAATTTGTTTTTCAAATGAATTTCGCTATTCTTGATGCCGGGTTCTGAAAGAGGGAAAAATTCCACATTCAAATATGTATTTAGGCCTAGGCTAGGCCTGAGGTCCAAAAGATCAGAATGGTACTTTGTGAAACTGCGTGTATTTGTAAAAGTAAAAAGGAGTTACACTATTCGCATCCAACTTTGGGATCAATGTGTTTTCAAACCATTTCTCAAAAATATTAGCTTCCATGTTCTTATGATAGTCAACATTACAGTTCTCAAGTTTTTTTCCACATAATTTCAAAGAATTCGGAACCCATCCTTTACTTCCTCCGCTATGTACATTGATTAGCCGCGATCCTTTGTTTGCAGGCATGTTAGGCGTAAACATTCTCGAACCACCAGTCCACCCTTTCGTAACTGTATCGAGAGTGTTATACCAAGTTTCGTTCAAATAGAAAATTTGCCGTTGTTCTTGTCTATATTTATTTATTTGTTCTAAGTATTTGTTACGCAATTCCACTATTCTTCTGCTTTCCATAACTGCTTGACGTTTGTTTATTATTTTAAATCTAAATCCTAGTTTCTTTATCCAAATCTGAATTATCCAATACGAACCGGCAATTCTTCAGTCCACGTGTATTGGTTTTTTTGGATGCCGATAGCTTTGAGTATTCACAATAAAGGTTACTTCGACTATACCAAAAATCAAATCTATGCATTCAAAAATGACTAAAATACAGGGGTGTCTTCAGCTTATAGCTACCAGACTGAGTCATGGCCGGTGGGAGAAATCGTATCTGCTTAAAGTTTGGGTTGGTGTATGACAAAGAAAGTATTAGAAAAAAAGGAATAGAAACTTTTGTTTGTAATTTTACGTAGTACGGATTAAGGGGTTAACAATGAATCGATATTAAAATGCCATTTTGGTTCTTGCAGATATATAAAAGCCAAGCTCACCGGCCACGACTGAGTCCGGCAGCTGTACATGGAAATCTATCATCACTACGGTGTATAGATGAAGAAGTAGAAAGCCAAAAGCTTTTTTCCTAAAATCTAATCTCTCCTTGAAAATACCCCCCTTTCAATTCATTTTTGAATGCGTTTCGCGTTTTTTCACCACCATCAAGGCAATGCATTTCATTTCAGGGGCTTGACAAGACATGAATCAGCCTTCAGGGCTCTTAGAACGTCTCTCTCCACGTCCTATGGTATGTCCTTTGGTTAGATTAGGTCACAATTCAAGTAACGACGAAACTGCTGTCTCTTCAGAGGGAGTCAGTACCTATGCCTCAGAAAACTACAACTATCATCCGCAATATATACATTCCTACGAACATAACGATGGCAGGTTTCACAACCAACAGCTGCCATGTGATGAAAGCTACATGCAACAGCGATCTTCTGATTCGGATTACTTGGTAAGTAGCTGGATGGAGGAAATCGATCTTCAAGAAGATGTAAAGTTCGTTGAAAAAAATCTGAAAATCCGTTAAACAGGTTTTTCAGATATTTTTCTAAAAATCTCATCGAATATTTCTGCTTCTGGAATAGGTACCTATTCCAGAAGCAGTGTAAAATTAAAACACGAAATTGTTTTGAAAATAACAAAAGTAGGGTCACTCTTAGCACAATAATTCACAAACTTATGAGTAGATTTTCATGAAATTTCAACAGCTTTCTTTTGAAGGATAGTACTATCTGAAAAGGCGGTGAATGCAATTAGACTCGCGCCATCTATGTGCTAGGCCCGAGAATTTTCAGCCCATGTAGTATATAACTAAATGAATTTCGTGGTTATTCAATTATTTCAAACTCATTCTAATAAAACGTTTCTAACTTGATCGATTGTTTCAATCACAAGAATATGTACCTATATCAGCCATCTGTCTTATTTTATTAACCTCAAAATATATTTTTAACATAGTGGGCACTTCTTAAATTCCAATACAACAAAATTTTTCTTAGCCAAGCCGACTACTTTAAATTATTAGCCTATCTGACTGTCTCGAAGAAGAAGTCCTAATTTCAGAAATAGGTTATACTAATTTACAATAGGTAAGAAGAAAAAATATTCAATTCCACTTCTGTTCTAGTATTTTCTAGTTCTAGTAAGTAGTGCTGGATATATGGATATCTTGTCACGAATCCTATTTTATACTCGAACAATTCAAATATTTCTTAACCGAAAATAACACACACAACATAAATTCATAACTTCATCTGTTTCTGTGATTTAGTAAGTACAACATAAATTACGTGGCGCAGTCGGTAGGCTAGACGACAGTTGTGGAATTCAGCTATGTTTTCGATCATCGCCATCTGCTGAATTCGACAATTGTCGCCCATCCTACCGACTGCGCCATGTAATTTATGTTTTACTTATTATTTTTATAATTTAGTTTCTATGAATTCATTCGTTCGGATTAAAGGTAACTTTTATTTCTGAAAACTTTTTATTTCACATCCAGTTCTATATGGCTCACTAAAAATCCATAAAGAGAATGTGCCATAGATTCATCAACTTATGAGCTGGCTGCATACTTGACAACCCTACTGCAGCCATTAATTTGAAATACAGAGTCATTTATTAAGGACTTGGTACACTTTATCGAAAAGAGTAGGATATGAAGTTAGGTCCTGTAGACATATTAGTGAGCTTCGACGTGGTCTCCTTATACACGATGGTTCCGATCAAGGACACGATACTGCTGATTAGTGAAGTATTCCCAGCAGATATAACCGCTCTCTTCGCTCATTCTTCATCGTCAACTTATTTCCAGTGGGATTGTGTTTTTCACGAACAAACTGATGGTACCGCGATGGACAGTCCATTAAGTCCGACGGTGGCAAACTTTTTCTTGGAAAATTTCGAACAACGGGCCTTAGAGCAAGCGGCCGAGCTAGCTGGTGCTCATAGAAAGCGAATTAGAGCCCCTTCAAGAGCAGGATATACTTTGAATCTGCGTTGTATCAAATTCTTGATCAGCAGAAGCAGAATCTGCATCAGGAGGGAAAACAAACTCCCTCTGGGCAGGTGAATAAACGCTCAAGCTCAAACGATGATTCACCCAAACCACCCTATATGGATGAATGTTATCGTCATGTATGACTACACCAATATCCTCATATGGAAAGTATCAATGAACTGACTCGTTACTTGTTGAAAATTAATAACACTATCCATGATAATAATATTTGTAGACGTGTAGACCGTAGCCTCCTCGGTGGAAATGTTCAATTATTATCATGGATAGTCATAAGGAAAGGTCGCTGCGATCATTAAGGGGGAATCCCGTGCTCAGTATCGACCAATCTCGTCGATATGCCATTATGGCTGCTGTAGAGGATATTCGACAAGATAGTCTATACGATTCCAGAGCTACACATTGCGGCCTGGGTGACTACATGTTACCTGAGAAGATCAGGCCGGCGTCTCTTGGTTAATGGGTGCAGTTGATATCCTACAGTCATGGGAGGGCGCCTCTCTGAAATGCGTAACAGAAGACTCACTTCCCAAACCAACCTTCGCCAAGCTGCTCACCAACCTGCCGAAGGTAGTCGCAGACTGACCACCGATCAGGTCCTCACTAGATTGAGAAAAATGTACATGGAAGTGGATTATTCTCCACCGGGAATGATAGCGGAGTATAGACCCTGTTCCTATCCATTTACGTTGAGAAGCTGGGTTCATTTGGTCGAGACTCACTCATTTTGGACCTACCCTGCCCTCTTCACTAGTTTCACCAACGTGAATATCGAATGAATATTATTGTTTCAGCAAAACTATTACCGACCTCGATCATACCTAGACGAAGAAGCTGAATACGAAACGAAATACGAACTAGACTCCCGCCATTCTCCATTAAATCACAACCTGCCATATCAAAACAAACACTGTCTCGACTTATCGTCTTTCACCATCAGCCAGAATTACTGGGACAACGAACACTACAAGATCAAAAACACCCAACCGGCCAATCAGGATTACTTTCGACCGCCGAGTCATCACACACAAGAAACGAATTATCTTCTCGATAACTTCACGAAACTAGGAAAGTCTAGTCCTAGCTTGGATCAGGGTTATCACACATTGGTTTCTCCTAGCCCGGGTCCTATTACCACCAGCCTGTGCTGGAATGGAAACTTGTACAAAGGAAAGAAGTACCAACCGAAAAACAACTCCTTCGACCGGCTGCCTGACGAGGTGGTCGTCAAAGTATTTTCCTTCCTGACCAGCGTGGACTTGAGTGTGACTGCGCAAGTTTGTAGAAGATTTGACGTTTTGGCGTGGACTCCGTCTCTCTGGCGGGTGATAACTTTGGATGATGACAGCATTAGCGGGGACAAAGCCATACGGGGGGTTCTGCGCCAGCTGTGTGGCCAGGGGAGGACTGGAGCTTGTCCCAGCGTTGAGAGGGTCCATGTCACTAATGGTGCTAAGTTGTCCGATAAGAGTCTGTTGTTATTAGCGAGAAGGTGTCCAGAGTTGACGCATTTGCAGCTTCAAGGGTGCAACGAATTGAGCAACAACGCATTGTGTGAAGTGGCCTCTAGGTGCAATAATTTGCAACATTTGGATGTTACGGGTAAGTCTAGTTGTCTTGACACCAGCGTTAACTTATTTGTATATTTTCAAACAGGTAAAAACCTCATTACATGAAAATAATTATTCTTATAAAAATGTCAATACAGTCCAAATCATAAATAGAATTCTAATATTTATACGTGAATACAGTTACATTGTATCTACGAGTAGTTATTACATAAAGCCGAATGGAAGGAAGAAACATAGTTATTCTAAACTTGAAAAGTATTTTTTTACACCACTATAAACTTGTTTGGGAGGGAGAACAAAGTTGTTGTCCTGACATTAGCAGGAAGTTGTTTGTTATTTTGATCATTGTAACGATAGGTAAACAGTTATTTGTTGATACATATGGTACATCAAAGAATTGAATGAGTCTTGTTGTTTTTTTGTGAATTCTCTCTTTCAGTAAAGATTTATATTATAAAGTGTAGTAATCACTTTAATATCATTGAAATGTGCACTTTGTCTCATTACAAATCCCATAACTCTTAGTGCCTGAGATGCTATGTAATCCAAATGGGGTTTGTACGAGAGTGTGGAGTTATAGTATATACCTAAATCTTTGATAGTCTCTACCCTGGATAATTCAATACCATTCATTAAGTAATTGTATAGTGTCTCATTTAGTTTTCGGGTACAAGACAGGACAAAACATTTAGATATACTGAACGGAAGATCATTTTTCACACTCCATCGATAAACACTATTGATGTCCTTTTGTACGAGAGGCATCGATCATAACATATTGTTGACACGATTTGATATGACATATTTGGAAAATAGGAGAGTTATCCTTGGTATAAAATTCCTGCATAAATTACTAAACAACAATATTGACAGTACGGTTCTTTTACCCGAGATCAATTTCTCAGTACCAAGAAGTGAAGGTCGACACAATCTGAAATTCTATTGCGAAGCATCACGCACAAATGTTATGCTACGATCACCATTGAATTTTATGTGCAATAGCTTCAATAAAATCTGTGAACACTGCGATATTCATTTCGACTCTCTGAACGCCTTGATATCTTGTATCCATAATCGCTTGTAATAATACTATAAATAACTTTTGTGTCAGTACTGTAACATAGTAACTTGTAACATGATTTGTAACTTTTTGTGTTATATACTCAATTTTTCATTCCTCTCTGTAATTCTACTTATACGAATATTTTATATACAGTGTGACCCATTTTTAATGGAAACACCCCCCTAAAATTTGAAGTTGTCAACCGATTTTAATAATTTTTTTTTATGTCAAGTACTAAAAGGTCTACCTTGGGACAAAATTTGAAATGTTTATTATATCCCATTATTTTTAATATTTATTCCATATATACTCTGTAATAATAGCATTTCCTGTAACTGGGTACTCCTGTTGGAAATAAATCGCTTTTTTATGACTATTGCTCAATTCAATTTTTCCAAAAATACAAAAGTGTGTTTTCAGGTTGTGTTAAAATTTCCTGCATTAGTGTGAACAGTGGTCCCGAACCTCCTAAAAGATTGCAGCTGCAATATCTGGACCTAACTGATTGTGTTGGGGTGCAAGACAGTGGACTGATGGAGATTGTTCGAAATTGCCCCCAGCTTGCCTATTTGTATTTGCGGAGATGCGTACAAATAACGGGTAAGTAATTTTTCATTCTTACTTGTCCAGTGTAGTAGTTTAGAGTAGTTCGTAAAAGTTTGATAACTCTAGGAAAATTATTTCATTGGAGAATTCGTTCTCAAATATTGGGGTGGTAATCGCCCCCCCTACTCCCCACGTAGGCGAAATTTGTCGAAAATAATTGAACTAGAGTTAACTTGGAAAACTTGGCGAGGTCTTGAATTATGTAATTTCAAAACTTTCATTTTCAAAAGTGTTATTATGACCCCAAGTCCTTCGACAGTTAACATTTTTCAGTTAAAAATGAATCATAGATTTAAAATGAAAGCAACTTTTCATTTCGATGTATAAGCTTGTTTCAAGAGTTTTGTCTGTTTTAATGTCATGTCAAAAGGGACCGGAAGCACTTTTCAAAAAATTGTGTATAACTCTCAGGGCAAGCTTAGCACTGGGACACATACAAAAAACTTGGAGACTGATCAGGGCCACCTTCATTCCGAAACCTGGGAAAATCGGACAGGACCCGGCGAAAGCTTTGAGACCAATTAGTCTCATGTCATTTGCGTTGAAAACGCTAGAAAAACTACTTGACAGGCATATCAGGGACGTATCACTGGCTATCAGACTATTACATCGAGACCAATATGCATATAGGTCAGGTATGTCAACAGAAACGGCTCTATGTTGGGTAACAGAAAAAGTAGAATATACTTACAAAAACAAGGAAGTACTTTTAGCTGCTTTCTTGGACATTGAGGGCGCCTTTGATAATACGTCGTTAGAATCAATCATCCAGGCGTCGAGGAAAAGAGGGATCGACAAGACAAGCTGTAGGTGGATAGACTGCATGCTTAGGGGAAGATTTGTATATACAACCATTATGGGGGAAACAATCGTGGCACGGGTAGCAAGGGGCTGTCCTCCAGGGGGGTTCTATCCCCTCTGTTATGGAACCTTGTAATAGACGAGCTATTATGTCTCTTGGACCACAATGGGTATGAAGTACTGGGCTATGCAGACGACTTAGTCATCTTAGTCCAGAGTAAATTCAATAATGTAGTGAAGGGATGCGTGCAGCATCCTGAACATAGATGGACCGAGGAAGAAGGGCTTATCATAAGCCCATCCAAATCGGGAGCTGGAATATACCGAGCGGATAGAAATCTAAACTACAGCTATCCGCTGGGACTATACACATCCGTCTTTCAGGCGGAAGTGTATGCTATCTTGCAGTGTGCAAGGCTTATTAAATTGAGACTTCAAAGAATTGAGCGGATCAATATTTTTACAAGCAGCAAGAGCGCATTAGGGGCTCTTATTAACCCGAAGGTGACATTCAAACTGGTCTGGAAATGCCATGAAGAACTGAATGAACTTGCGAACAGGAACAGATTAACTTTGTACTGGGTGCCAGGGCATTCAGGAATTACAGGTAATGATAAAACTGATGAATGCGCTAGACGCGGATCATCAACTTCATATATAGGTCCTGAACCAGCTCTGGGGGTACCATTGGTACGAAACCAGATTAGGACATGGACCAATAAGAAGCACATAGAGTACTGGAAAAAAGTACCTGGCAACAAACACATTAGAACCTTCATTAGGGAACCGTCCGAGAAAAGAACTGAAGAACTACTTCAATATAGTAGACATCGGCTCAGAATACAGGGTTACTAACCGGTCATTGTGCGCTTAGAGGACACCTGAATAAAATGGGGCTGTACAACGGAGACCTCAGCTGCAGATTATGCAACGAAGGGATAGAAACATCTCTACACATCTTATGCGAATGTGAGGCACTGAATCACAGGAGGCAGGCTATATATGGACGTACAAAACTACGCCCAGAAGAATATGACGAACATCCAACACGGAACCTCTACAAACTAATACAGAGAACGAGACTGATGGAATGGGTGTCATGAGAAGATGGGAGAATAAACGCAACAAGCCCAAGAGGCTGGACTAAATGGACAAGTAAGACAGCTCCCAAAGTACAAAAAAAATGTCATGTGGTTTTGTAGCTCCATATCTCAATAAATATTTATTCTACTGTGGTATATACCCCGAAGTGGTCGACCTACAGTGATCCAGGACGAGAATTTGAGGACCCTGTTGGAGACTAATCTATCACAAACGGTGCGTGAAATGGCAGAAGAACTGGGCGTCAACTCCCATTCGGTTTTCGATGGTTTGAAACGTATCTGCTACTGTAGAGTAGGGAGGGTGAGTGTAGACTCACAGCACTTAGGCCACATGTGACCCATTGTACATCCTCCCGAGGAGTTGTCCTCCCATCGTCCATCCTGTCCTTTCCACGAAGGTGAACAGGTCAGGAACAGAAGACATCTCCTTTATATTGGCAGCTGTAGGCCAATATTCGCCGAACACACACTCTTTTTGGCAACCTTGAGGTGTCTCATGGTGGCCTCCGCGAAGGTTTCCGAAAGTGCAGCGACATTACTGTCGTTGCGCGGCTTCTTCAACCTTTTTGGGGTTCCCTCCGTGAAGGTGCACAAGTGAGAAGCTTTCCTGCAGAAGCAGCCGGTTCCTTGCCTTCATTCAAGGCGGAGCTCTTGGCACCCGCCGCAAGAAGTGTCCTTATTGTTAGAGGTGGAGTGGGGGAGGAGGAGGGTGCACTTATAGTTGCTGCCATTCCTGCCTCTTTCTCCTTTTCGCCTCGGCGCCGCAAATGCGCTTACGCCTTGGCCTTTGTATTACATCACGAGGTGATTTGCTATGTCCAGCCTCATTCCAAGCGGTAGATTGGGTTAGACATTTCTGTTCAACCCCAGCCACCGCCTTAGATTGAGGTGAGCACTTCTGTCCAGCCTCTCAACAACAATTTGGACATTCACCTTATTTTTTTAACAGATCTCGTACATCTCATCCTTGAAAATCACTTCGATATTTTATCTGTTTCAGATGCTGGTCTAAAGAACGTGCCAAGTTTTTGTTCAGGTTTGAGGGAATTGAGTGTTAGTGACTGTTCGAATTTGACGGACTTTGGCCTGTACGAGTTGGCCAAACTAGGTGCCACTTTGAGATATCTCTCTGTCGCGAAATGTGATCAAGTCAGTGACGCTGGTTTGAAAGTAGTAGCTAAAAAATGTTATAAACTCAGATATTTGAACGTGAGAGGCTGTGAAGCCGTTTCGGATGATGCCATAACGGTTCTGGCGAGATGCTGTACAAGGCTGCGCGCTCTGGACATTGGCAAGTGTGATGTAAGTGATGCAGGTTTGAGGGCCTTGGCGGAGAGTTGCCCGAATTTGAAGAAACTCAGCCTCAGGAACTGCGATCTGGTTACTGATAGAGGAGTGCAATGTGTCGCTTATTACTGCAGGGGTTTGCAGCAACTCAATATTCAAGATTGCCAGATTTCCCTGGAGGGTTACAGAGCTGTCAAAAAGTACTGTAAACGATGTGTTATCGAGCACACCAATCCGGGATTTTTTTAAAACATGTTTTATTGTTAATCTGTACATTTGTTGAATATTTATTTGTACATTTGTAAATCTTTTATATTTCTATTGACTAGTTTCTCTAATAAAATAACATTATCCAGAATATTCAGATATTGGATTTTTGATTAACGACTGAAGATAGTAATGGAAGTTAGGGTTTAACGGGACTTTCAGTCAGACACGAGTAGATGAACAAAGATAGTTTCATGACACAGCCAATTCAACTAAGAGAAGCAAGGTATAACGGTCGAAAACACACGTAGAACGATCGAAAACACACGCGAAACGATCAAAAACACGCCAACCGATCGAAAACACACGCAAAACGATCAAAAACACACGCAAAACGATTGAAAACGCATGCAAAAGATCGAAGACGCACGCAAAACGATCGAAGACGCACGCGTTTGCGTTTGTTTCGACCGTTTTTCGTGCTCTTTCGATCGTTTTGCGGGCGTCTTCGATCGTTTTGCGTGCGTCTTCGATCGTTTTTCGTGTGTTTTCGACCGTTTTTCCTGCGTTTTCGTTCGTTTTGCGTACGTCTTCGATCGTTTTGCGTGCGTTTTCCATCGTGTTTCGTGTGTTTTCGATCGTTTTGCGTGTGTTTTCGACCGTTATACCTTGCTTCTGTTAGTTGAATTGGCCGTGTTCATCTACTGACACGTTCAAAAAACAATATCAGATATCTAAAAATTGTGATATTAGATAACATCAATGTGCCAATTTTGTAAAAAAAAATCATCAATATTCAATATAGTGACTTCGTCATGGCGAAGTCTCTATTCAGAGACAAAAGTCTTGACGATGTTATTCTTTCCTTGATTGAAACCTGGAAGGCATTTGTACTTGAATCCTGAAATAACTCATTTCTGCAAAGTAGATTTGGCAGAGGGTTGCTGTAGTTTCACTTACAATATCAATAATACAATCACAACTGGAAATTCTAATCTGGGCCAAGAAGTCCCAGGCCTAAGAAAGAAAACGTTTTTTTTTTGTTCAAAATTGGCTTTATTCATCAACGTTATCTCCATCAAGAGCCATACCATGATTCCAGCGCTGCTCTAACATTTCAAACCACTTTTGTAAAACTATTTATCTTTTGCCTCAAAATAGGCCTCAATTTCAGCAATAACCTCTTCATTCCAGCGAAATTTCTTACCGGTGAGCATTTTTTTGAGGTCTGCGAACAGACAGTAGTCGCTGGGAGCCAAATCTGGCGAATCCGGTGGAAGTGAGAGCAATTAGAAGTTCAATTCATATAGTTTCGCCATTGTTTTGATCGACTTTTGACACGGTGCTTTGTCTTGATGAAACAAAATGTTTTTCTTTGCCATATGCGGTCGTTTCCTTGCAATTTCGGACTTCAGACGCTCCAATAACGCTATATAATATTCACTGTTGATGGTATTTCCCTTCAGAAAATAGTCGATGGATTTTACACCATGCACATTCCAAAACACCGAGGCCATAACCTTTCCAGGCGATTGTTGTGCTTTCGGGAGCGTTGGAAAAGGTTCACCAGTTGCTCTCCACCCAGATGACGATTGTTTTGATTCCGGAGTGAAGTGATGGATCCATGTTTCATCCATTGTTGTTTTTGGTTAACAGTGAGTTCGCGTGGCACCCACTTTGATCAGAGCTTTCTCATGGTCAAATGCTCATGCAATTCAAAGCCAACACGTTCTTTTGAAATCTTTACAATGTCAGATAACTCACGTAACTTCACGTTTCGAACCATTGTTTAATTGTTGTTTCTAATAGAGCGGAGTACTTATAACACTTTTCAAGCCATTGCTTCGCTTGAAAGGTTCTTTTCCCTTCAAGAAACAGTGTAAAATTAAAATACGAAATTGTTTTTGATCTTTTTGATCCATTGTTTTGAAAATAACAAAAGTACTGTCAGTCTTAGCACAACAACTCGCAAACTTATGAGTATAATGAAATGTCGACAGCTTTCTGTTGAAGGTTAGTACTAATTGAAAAAGTGGTGAATGCAATAAGCCCATGTAGTATGTTCAGTATCTTTGTTCAAAGGTATGATCAGTAGTTCTTTTCCAGTTTTCATTAACATGAAATAGAAAATATAAACATGCCAGGTCAAGGGACCCCGCGCACTGGCAACTTTGTCAAAGCAACTGTTTGGTTGCTTTAAAAAATCTAAATGACGCACCCGGTAATTAATGCAGCCCCGCGCACGGGCGACTTTTAAATTGCCGTGACTAAATAATTGCGACTAGATCTATTACAAGGGTGACTAAACAGTTGCCGGCAGAAATGAGCAACGTGCATGTAACCTCTCGCACTGTTAACTATTCAGTTGTTAGATGGCGTTGGTCTGGAGTATGCTGATAAAAAAAATGGAAGTTCTAAAACAATTTTTCATTTACTAAAAATGCCATTTAAGAATGAAATACTAATAAATCTTTTTTGTTTGCACTTTATGAGATTTAGTTTGCAATAAATTATTAATATTTGGTAGTGTTAATTAATGTTTTCTTTCTTGAAGTGGTACAGCCTGTCGTCATGAAGTATTTCGGTAAGTAATTCGTGTGCTAAGAGAAATCAATAGATCAAAAGATTCTATTCTCATTCTAAAATAATTGAAGAACTTGTTTGGATGTGCTTTCAATCTGTCGAAGAGCTTATAAAATTGCCCGTCAAGAAGTCGTAAACTAATTAATGGTTGTACCCAAAACTTTTTGTTCCTTTGCTTATTTTTTCGCTGTCTCAGAATAAGCGCAACAGCACAACGATATCCATTGTGGACTGAGCAAAGAGGCAACTATTTTAGTCGCCAGCGCGGTGGTCGACAATTCATGGGTGAGTACACTGTTTAGTTGCTGGTGATTAAAGTTGCCAGTGCGCGGGGGGCTTAAAGACGGCTGTTTTATGTCATGCACTACCGAATATTTCCATTCTTTGGAAAAAACTCATTAATACATTTTATTGTATGATTTTCACCATAAAGGGTTTTACAAAATAATAATAATTTATTTTACGCTTAAGCTATTGTACAACGAAACACGTGTCTATAGTGAAAATCATTCAATAAACTCTATTAATGTGTTTTAATATGGATTTTCATCCAGTATCGGTCAGTTATATTCAATGCCTTGGAAAATATTGGAGTTTTGTTATGTTATTTTTTGGCCTCAAATCTGGCCAAAGTAGTAAGAATGCATCTACAATCTGAAATCCTAATCAGCTCTTATTACTGATCTTCGTTGAGTTCTCAATCTACATACTTACTCGTGAAGGCTGATGTTCTATGGATCATTTATAAATCTAAAATCCATTCATTACTATATGGAAAATCTCTATTAATGAATTTCATAAATCAGGAAATGATTGGAATTTGAGCTTCTCTTCGGCTAGAATATCGAAAGTAACTATGTTGTCTAGTCCTGTTCATAAAACTGAATGCCATATATGTGTCCACAATTATTCTATTACTTGATTCACATATACTGAAATTCGCACATTTTCATTTGCTATAAACAAGTAACCTTTGAATGATTCGTTAGTATTGGTTTTCTGTTCTATTTGAAGAAATAAAAGATAAAGTTCATTGGTATGTTCTTATAAAGAAAATCGCATAAATAAAATAAATAACAATAAATAATAATAAATACTATTCTACTTCAAGTATCGCCAACTTATTGGATTTTTAGTCCGTATTTACTATACATTTTCCCAACTATCGGTAGGGATAAGCAACTACTGATGAATCCCAAGCTGCACGTTTGAACATTTACGAATCTCATCACCACCCTAATCTGGCTAACCACATATCTCTACTCTGCCGCCGACCTTTGAATTTCCTTTTCTTCAGTTTCCTACTTTCATCACTGTCGTCATCGTCTTCGTCATCATCGTCGTCGTCGTCGTCATCATCATCATCATCGTCATCCTTTTTATCATTTACTTTATCGCTCTTAACGTTCTCATCGGAATCCTCCCCCGCGAAAGTATCAACTACGCCGTCAACTATATCATCGAAAACTTCTTTAGATTCTTCTGTCGATACAGTAGTTGTTGGTGCAGAGCTTATTGTGACTGTCGATTTCTCATCAGATTCTGAAAGTTCATCTTCTATAACTTCTTCAACGACGTCAACAATCGGATCGCTCTCTTCCGAATCATCGTCCGCTCTTGGAGTTGTTGGTGTTTCGGTCTTGACTTCAGAAAAGGTAGTTGTTTCCGTCATCTCATTTTTGTCTGGTAATGTCGTAGCGACTTCTTGTTTCACGGGGGCGACGGTTTTTGGATCTGTCGCGACTTTATTGGTAGTTGTCGGTGCTGGAGTTGTTTGCGCCTCAAAAGAGGATGAAATCAACAACTTCTCGGTTGTTTCAGTTTCAGCAGTTGCCACTTGCTGCAGAGTGATGTTTTTAGTTACATCTGTGTTATTTACTTGTTGGGTGTTGGAGGGAATCTCATTCTGAGCAACGGGGGCATATTCTGTAGTAGTTGTTGTGGTAGTGGTAGTACTAGAAGTGGCAGTCGGTCTCTTTCTACGAATGATATGTTTCACGGTTGTACTTTTCACCGGCTGCGGAGTACCTTTCCTTTTTATGAAGGGTTTTTTCTGCACAGGCTTGTACACCGGTTTTCTCGTCAGGCGCCTCAAAGGAGCTTTAGTTGTTGTTGTAGAAGTGACTTTTTTCTTGTTACTAGTTGTTGATTCTGAATCTTCACCTTGAAAGTATCCTCCAATGAAATCGTCATCAAACACTCCATAGTCTACAGACTCCACCTCGTTGTCGTCATCGTCGTCCTCATCGTCGTCGTCCCCATCAAAATCGAACTCGTCCTCATCATCGTCATCATCATCGTCGTCGTCGTCGTCATCATCATCGTCATCATCGTCGTCTTCGTCTTCTACGGGTGGAAGAGGTTGCGGAGGCTCGAGCCGCAGTCCTTTGGGACCGAATCTGAAGCAGGCTACACGAATCGCTGCTTCTATTTCGCTGAGAGCTCTGAGTTCCATGCCGAGACATGCGTTGAACTCGTCTTCCTGGCGACCAATGTTGTAAATGCGACCACAGAATTTGGAGACACCTCCAGGGAGAGGCATGCATACGGGCTGCGGCTTCCGTCCTGAAAATTGAAAGCGAGTTGTTCACGAAATATTCAGTTAATGATCGGGGGAAATTAAAAAAAATGGAATATGTAGAAAACGAACATCAATGTTCACAGACCACGTAACACCGAAGTACACTTTTGACATATCTAAGTTTCACGGTTGAAGTGTCAAATTGTGAAGAATGGATGATGAAGAGTGATCCCAAAATATGTTCGGCAGAAACAACGGGTATACAGATGGGTCGAGAACTGAACATGGTACGGGAGGTAGAATATACCACGTGGGTAGCAATTTCCGCCACAGTTACCCGCTCGGCCAGTACAGATCCATCATCCAGGAATTTTGCAATGCTTTATACGATAAACGTTTGTTAGACTAGTAATGAGACATTAACATAGCTTCTGGTTTTGAAAAAGAGCATGTTATCGAACGTATAAAAGACGAATTACAAATCTAACACTGGAGTCCTGGACAGGATGTTTTATTTTGTTGCATTTAGGCGAAGTAAGGTTCGAGTTGCACCATTATTCAATATTTTCTGAGTCCTCAGATATATTCCTTTCAATTGTCTGTATCTTCACGATACCACAAAAGTAATAAGTTATCAATAAGCAACTTATCGACAGAGGTTATTTGATTTATTTACAACAGAATGAGAACTGGTCCAAGAACTGATATTTGTGGTACACCTCACAAATAACTACTGCAACCAGATTCAAGTTCACATATATTGTCTCAAGATAGTTGAATATTTTCATGGAAATTCTAAAAGTATATTATATCCGAATAAATAATTTTATTCATCATATAAAGTACAATTGAAACAGACAAAAAGAATGAAAAAACAACTTTCAATACCAAGGGGTATCAGTCAAGGATGTTTTTCAACTCAACCTGGGAATAGCCGTAATTAAATGACTATAAAAAAAAGTCGAGACAAAAGACGAGATAGTTAAGTAAGTCATTAGTCTTTTTCTGAAGTTTTTAATTCTATAAGATCGTTGTTGATTATGATGTTTGGGTGCATTATACGAGAAGCAGCGGGTGAAGATGGAAGATTTGTGTTTGGGGATGACTTAAACTGAATTGTTCCGTGTGGTGAAAATATTAATAGTTGAGAATGTTCTAAACATATTCAGTAAGTAATTAGGTTGACAAAATATCAAAACTTTATGTGTGTTGGTGAGTAGATACAGTGTTCTAAGTTTCTCAACTTTCAACTATCCTGAATATGCTGTAGTCGCAATAATTTTTTTTGACATGATCAGTGACCCGCATAGTCTAAGTTTTTAAGTTTGTGTTGAGCAAATCACGATTTGGCAACATCTGCCTGTAAAACGTTTTTTTCATCTCGGTCGCGTAGGGGAGGATTTCATTCTGGATGCGGACTTGAAAAGTGGATTTGGTGAGCTCTTAGATCCAAACGTCATTATTGTAGATTTATTAGAATTGAGCTTGAGCTTATGGGCTGTAGAAATGTCAAAGATGGCTTGAAGAGAAGAATCAGGACGCGGAAAAGAGAAATTTAACTGCGTGTCGTCTGCATAGCGATGTTTATTAATTTTTTTACGAACAGATAAAGTTCACAGATATACAAGTTGAAAAGCGAAGGCCCAAGGAGAGATCCTTGTGGCACTCCCCTTGATACCGATAGAGCCTAGGATACAACTCCATCTACAACAACTCTTTGAGTTGAGTAACTGTTTTGAATCATTTTTCATTTTAAAAAAAGCTTTTGAAGAAATGGAAATAAAAAAATTGAAATGGGATGTTGCGCTGAATGAGATGTCGGAGGGAGATGTAATTGAGAAAGACGTGTGTCAATACTATATGAAGAAAAAGGATAAAAGGCAACTGTAAAAGTTGCCTTTAGAAGTTTTTAGAAGATACATTTTGTCAAATGTAGGAGGAGCTAAGTTGCGTAGTGTATGCACTGGCAGTACTAATGCGCTGGGGAACGCGCAGGTTGTGAGAATTGTCAAGTCTCTTCCTAGATTTGAAAATCTGTAGCTATATTTAGGTTTATCTACCTTTGATTGTAGTGTTCGTAAGTACTCTCTCGTTGAAGCTCATGGATATAGCAAGTTGATCGCCTTGTAGATATTGAAGCGAGGCACACCCAGGACCTTTCAGATTCAGCAATGGTAGGTTGAAGTCTCTGCAGCAATTGCACATTTGTGTGGCGCAGGTACAGAATCTGTTCGTCTGATTTTGGTTCTGTCTGTGTTGAGAAACTTTTTTACCAAATTTCTTGACTGCATGTTTCCTGGTCGTTTTTAATTTGGAATCTGAAATGAACACGATGAAAACATTATGGTATCCGTACTACATGCTATAAAGATCAACAAACTCCACCACATTGATATATAACACAAACTCAAGTAAAGAGTTAGTTGACAAGTTCTTTGTGACAGCTAGATATCTTGAAGATGTTTTCAAAATGTGAGAAATGCCAAAAAACCAACTGAGTTTTTTTTTATAATTGACCATGCATAAACAGGTATGAAAATTTTTCCTAATTTATCACATCAGCTAACTTTATTCGAATTGAGAAGTAAAAACACTTTATTGTGAAATTTCCACGAATCAGTTTTACGAAAACGTGTTTCGCTATACACTAGTTTCTTCAGGCGTGTCTATACTACTAATTTAGACACTACTAGTATAGACACGCCTGAAGAAGCTACTAGTTTAGACCCTACTAGTATAGACACACCTGAAGAAGCTATTGATTAGCGAAACAAGTGTTGCATTTTCGTAAAACTATTCAGTGAACATCTTGATCCTTAATGGGTTCTTTAGCTGTTTGCACCAAAGTAAATAATACTAAATTAACCAAGCAAATAGTTGGTGTGGGAGTTCCCAATGAAGTGACATAAACATCTGATCTTTATAGTTTATTTGAATGACTTCAAAAACATTGACAAATATTAATTCATCAACCTATTATCATCAACTGTTTACTAAACCGCGACATGTGTTTCGCTATATAATAGCTTCTTCAGACGTGTTCAAAGTAACATTTAATTAGTGTTATAGGGTTTTATTCCTCTCACAGGGAATAGGAATTGGTTGTAATAGAAATTGGTTACTTTCTCTTCAGGAAGTTTTAAACGCGAACGATACTAAATAAATCTCAGCCCTGAAATTAGGATCTGAATATATGAAAGCCGAACTTTTGTCAAATTTCTCCCTAACTTCTGATATTATTTTCACTTTCACAAATTTTCACGTGCATCAAGCTGAAACTGAATTTTTACTCCAGGACTACAAGAGATATCTCAAATGGAAACTATATAATTTGGCGGAGTCGCCAGTATTCCAAGTCCTAATTCTAAACTGGTACAAATTTGAGTACAATAACTGTAATTTCAGTTTCTAATAGTGCTAGTTTTGCAAGGTCAGAACAATTGTTGACTTTATAAATTAACTTTGTTAGAGAAATATGAATGTTCTACTTGTCAGTTAGGCTAAAGTGATTTAAGTAAATCTTACCTATAACAGCAGAAGCAGCAAATGCCACTAGAACGAATATGAGCAGCAATTCAAAGATGAAAGACAGCTTCATCTTCCTCTGAGGTTAAAACCTGAAATAACAAGTGTAAATATCCATTATTTCCGTGTAGTCGAAACAGAGAACAAAGACATTCAGAACTTCAAGCAAAAAATCTAAAAGCCGTTTCTTATTTCTTTGTTTTTTTGTAATGCAGGTACGTTCTGGCCAAAAAACTATTGCAAAACCTTCAACCCTCCAAGCGAGGGTGTTAGGTGTTATCCCCTAATTTTTATAAAAATGGGCATGGGGTCGAAATGATACCTCTATCCTTCTATCCATTACTTCCTTCTATCCATTACTTCTTAGTTTTTGAGGCTTTTCAAAAGCCAACAATTCCTAAGAATCCACAAAAATTTATTTCGAATAAAAACATTTGATTTCTTCTATTTCACAGTTATTATTGTTGTAAATTCACGAACGTGCTGGCCAGCTCTTCACGGGTACAAGCATCTTGTATACCTATATTTTTCTATCATAGTGTCAAATCAGGTTAGTTTTCCATAAAGAAGGTTCCTGTTTTTACCTGAATATTCTGAGATACTGTGGAATATTCGAAACTGGTCTGAAACGTTTGAGAAACTACCTAGTCATTGTGGAACATTTCAGAACATTCTAGAATGATGTGGAATGTTCTGGAACATTTTGAATCCGTCATGGAAGCCATTTCTGGAGTATAATTAGCGAAATCCGTTGATTTTTTATAATTTAAAGTATTATACCAACCACTAGTGAATAATAATAGTGACTTTTGATAAAATTCATTCGAACAATTGCCCCTAGGGTGACCCCCATTACCCCCCATGTTGGTGCAATGGGAGTCAAATCTGTTTTTTTAACTTTTATAATATCCAAAGTTGATTGCCAAAGTGACTGATAAGTGTTTCTAATGACAGTCATTTAAGTAAATGATGTTTAGAGGCGGTTGCAATAAATTGTTTGTTTATGATTAAAATTTTATTCGAGTTCTCACGCAAGTGACCCCTATTAACCCCTTTTACCCTACATGGAGTTTATATTATCTACTTTTATTTTTTAAATGAACAAAACCTACCACCACCTCTATATTCCTGGGTAAAGTAGACGTAAACGATATTGGGTACTCTTAAAGGTGGCGGCACTCTCAAAGGCCAAAAAAACCAATACATAGAAATGAACTGGCAGCGAACTAATCCACGTAGACTGTAGAGTTGTGGAAAACAAACTATTATGAGCAACATCAGATTTGACCGAAATTCATTTCATAACTGTACGTAAAATAGTCAAAAACAAACCTTATGAACGCAAGACGCGATGTGATACTGGATTACCAAAACCTTTAGATATTCATCTAATGAAATCATTGAAAAAAACAATATACGACTGTTACAAAAGCAATGAGATTCCTACAACTGAAATCATAAGGAAGAAATTGAATACTTTCGGCCATAACGTGAGCTGCTGTGACAAAACTCTTCAGAATTGGATAAAGAAACTAGGATTTAGATTTAAAATAATAAATAAACGTCAAGCAGTAATGGAAAGCAGAAGAATAGTGGAATTGCGTAACAAATACTTAGAACAAATATCTAAATATAGACAAGAACAACGGCAAATTTTCTATTTGGACGGAACTTGGTATGACACTCATGACACAGTTACGAAAGGGTGGACTGATGGTTCGAGAATGTGTACGCCTAACGTGCCTGCAAACAAAGGATCGCGACTAATCATTGTGCATTTGAAATTATGTGCAAAAAATTGCAATGTTGACTATCATAAGAACATGGAAGCTAATATTTTTGAGGAATGGTTTGAAAACACATCGATCCCAAATTTGCATGCATGTAATATTTCTTGACAACGCTTCCTATCATTCGCGACAGCTCATCAAAGTACCGAATAAAAATTCGAGGAAAGATGAAATACAAAGTTTTTATGGATCCACTCTTGACTTAAAGCCACTCTTTTCTCCATTTTTTCATGGCAAAACTTAACATTAACCGCTGTGTTATTTCGTGATCCACTATACTAGATGAGTAAATGAAAACGTCATTAGACGACCTAAATTCGTATTTCATCACCCATTCACTCAGTTCAGAGGAAATCACAAAATCGAAAATCAGTTGTGATCAAAGGCCGCTGGTATTTGAACAACTCGTTATAGTTTATTTTACTTTCACCGAGCCGAGTCGGCAGAGGATTCAAGGTAGTTGGTTTTGAACCAGCGGAAGCGTTAAGTTATAACCTTGAACTCAAGAAGGTCACCTCAATTAATGGACTTTCCCTAATCGTACTCAAAAACAAAATGATTTACTTTTGTTACTGTACAAAAAAGGTGAGAGAAGCCAATTTAAGATATTTCTCTCACACTTATGTAAACTGAAATATTTTGAAAACGATGTGTGTTGGGTATTTAGTAATTGTTAACCGAGTACCAGTTACATTGATGTACAGTTCGAAAAATCTAAAAGACATACTTTTTGATTATTCTGTTGAAAATTTTAGAAGTGAAAATTCCAATATTCGATTAGTTTTATTATCACCTCCAGGGAAAAGCTACACATTTATTACGTATGATGAAACAAGATATTGATAATGGAAAAGGCATAACTTACTGTTGGTGAGGTTAGCCGTGTTCAAAATGATGTTTACTAAATAGCACATGTCAGAGACGATAAAGTTATTGTATCTACACAACAAAGTAAATTTTTAAAGCTGCAAACCATGATATTTAAGACTTTAAATTTTGTATTATTCTATAATTACGCTTTTTGTTCTCTGATGAAGATCCATAGTAATATCTACGACAAGCAATTTCTCGACTTTACGTTAGCAAAGGTAAACTTATTCGAATGGCGCTTCTGTAGAGTAGGGAAAGTGCACTTAGGCCACATGTGACCCATTGTACATCCTCCCGAGGAGTTCTCCTCCTAAATCATCGTCCATCCTGTCCTTTCCAAGAAGGTGGACAGGTCACTTGGAGACATCACCTTTATATCGGCAGGTGTAGGCCAAGACTCGCCGAACACACACACTCTCTTATTGACGATGACTCCGGGCACTCGCACAGGATATGCCTGACAGTCTCATCTTCCTGTTCACACATCCTGCATAGAGGTGTGCCACTAGCCCCATATTGTGGAGGTGTTTTCTTAGTTGACAGTGGCAAGTCAGAAATCCTACTGTTAAGCGTAGATTTTTCCTGGTGATCGCTAGATATTTCTTCGGCGCCACCTTTCCAGGGTCCCCCAAACTGATCCTGGCAAGATTGCATCCTTTGATTTCATCCCATCTCTTCAGGGATTGAGCATGGGTGTCACGTTTGGCTAATTCCGCAATTGTCGAAGTAATCAGGCCGTAGGTGCCTTTAGAAGCGTTTCATTTCCTTGTTGATTTTAATTTTTTGTAGTATAAATTCTTGTTAGAAAATTAACTTTTCATAACTCTATTGTCGAGAAGTCGGACGAAATATTCATCTCCTTGAGTTTCTTTATGTGAATTCCTTTCATTTTATTTTTACTCAGTATGTTTAAATTCTTGTTAGGAAATTAACTTTTCATAACTCTATTATCGAGCAGTCGGACAAAATATCCATCTCCTTGAGTTTCTTTATGTGAATTCCTTTCATTTTATTTTTACTCAGTATGTTTATATTTTTTCATGGCAAATCATTGAAATGTTCTCTTCTCTCGAACCGAGGTTTATTGCCGAGAAACACATGGATATTTTAGAATGACAGAGCCACTTGGGTAAGATTTTTACGTGTTAGACAACGGCCCAAGTGGTTAATCTTCTGTGAATATATTTATGACCCCGACCATATTGTCACTGGCGATTATTTTCGAAAGGGACTTGAGAAACATCTTTGAACCGAGGCATCGATTCATTCGATTCTGGGATTTCGTTCGGGCTAATCCTAATTTTTATTCTCCTCGCCACGAGGTTTCACTATTTTCTGTTCGTTCGTTTTGTTGGTGTTGTTAATAAATTTTATTATTTGTAAACGCTGCGTCCGATTAATTATTAATTCACCTGTCACCCTGTCCCCGACACATCCTTTGATTCTATTCCATCTCTTTAGGGATTGAGCATGGATGTAACAATTCGCAATTGTCGAAGTCATCAGGCCGTAGATGCCACTGAATCCTAAAATTCTTAGTCCAGCCGCTTCCTTGGCTAAAGAGTCGGCAATGCGATTACCTTTACTCCTGTCGTGCCCTTTAATCCACCTCAGGATAATGTTATTATCTACCGAGGCTTTGGCTGAAGCATGGTGGCACTCTAGTTCTAGTCCTGAGGTAACACGTTGTCTGTTTAAGGCTAATAAGGCTTGTTTGCTATCGGTGCAGATTTCGAATGGCGCTTAGTAATAATAATAATAATGATTTATTAAACCACTGTGGTATAATTTATACATATGGTACGTCAATTAAATCAAACCATTTACTCTTAGTAATTATGAACACTGGTTTACAACTTTCACGATATTCCATGTCAAAAATTAGTCTCAGAATACGTTTCTGTCCTATAAACACCCTGTTGAAATCCAAACCGCACCCCTAAGACATGATGTTCAAGGAAATATGTGAAAAAGCCATTGCATAATAGATGCTAATCAGACACTATCAATATGAGAGTTCCAATTCAAGGCTTCATCCACAATTGTTCCTAAAAATTTGCATACATCTTATTATATTATTATTTCTGTTATAAAATTTCATTGTCACTGATTTTGAGGTGTTCAAGACTAGTCTGTTGCGTTCACACCAATAAGTGAATTCATCGATAATGTTACTAATTTTGGTTACCACGTCGTCCATAGTATGTCCAGTGACTGTAACAGTGGTGTCATCTGCAAACATGGTTATGTGACAGCCCCTCACATATTCAGGCAAATCATTGATAAATATAATGAATGATAATGGTCCTAAAACTGAGCCCTGAGGAACGCCCAGTTTAACAGCATGCTCAACTGACATGGTGCCTCCATATTTGACTGACATACACCGCCCCTCCATATAGGAGCCTAACCATCTTAATACATTGTTTGGAAGATATTAGTAGATATCGATAATGAAATATTCAACACTCTTCTGATTTCAACCATTTGGAACAACCTAATTTCATTTTTGGTAAATTTTACTTAAAAGCTTTATATAATACTATGTGACTGAGGGCAGAACGATTTAGATTTCAGGTTGCTTGATTATGAAATAAAATAGATGTAAATATAATTTTCTCTCTTTTTGGATAATGTCCTTTGAATTTATATTTTACCGTTAAATTCACTATTATGTTGACAATATTTTTTTCATGTTTCCCAATCTAACAAGCTCTGAACAGCAGCTGGTATGCGAAAATAGAATGAGTGATTTGAACAGTAACGAAAAAGTGTGTTTTTGGAACAACTTACTTCCACAAACGAATAACGTAAATTATTCAGTGCAGTGGTATGCATTACTGAACTCATGCATGAATTAAACTGTCTAGTAAAGAGCATAATTTCCAATTTGATCATTATAAAATGTACACTGGAGGTCAGTCTCACAAAAACCAACAGCATACCCAATGAGGTGCCAGTTATAAAACAGGAATATTCCTGTTACAGGTTTTTGTAAATACAGAAGAAATCAAAACAGGTATTTTTCAGGACTAGTTTTTTGGAGAAATAAAAATTCCTCATTTGCTGGTAATTGAAATTATATGTCTAAATTCACTCTGGTTGGTAGGTACTCACAATATTGGCAACTCTAATTTCGTAACGTGAGTATTCAACAAAACCTTTAACTTTAAATACTTCTGACCGCTCTGGATTGAATGATTTCGTACAGAGTAACTCTTAATTGTGTTTGTGAATCTTTTGCTGAAAAAATCCTCACTTGTTTACTTTGTAGTAAATGTTCAAGAGGTACCAAAAACGTATGTGAACTTCTGGAACTTCAAGTACCGTTTCCTAATATGACTAATAACTAATAATACGCCAAACTAACTGACTGTTATAAGAAAGCAAGTATAGTGAGGCACCAGTCAATCTAGAAATAGATGAAAACTTTAATCTAGCAGACCACTTTTATAATCTTCATGCAGTCATTGTTCACTGTGGTTCTGGCGTTGAATCTGGTCATTATTACGCCTTGGTCAAAGACCAAACGGACTGGTTTAAGTTTGACGATAGTCGTGTCGCGAAGTGTTCTGGCGATGTATTGAATTTATTAATTCCGCAAAAACGTCTGATATTCTAAAATATAAATTTAATAAGAACCTTCCACATGTAATGATAATTTTTTATTTTCACTCACTGAAAAATCCCTCTCTCGATACACCACCCAAGTTAAGGTAAGGGGTTAAAACGTGCCGACAACTGTGTGGCATTAGGGTGGTTAAAAATGATATGTCGTTAGCGTTTTCCCCTCAAGACTTGCCCCTTATTAGACCTCTGGGGGGGTCCACCGTTATAGTGTATATTACTAGTGGGAACAACATGGTAAATATTGACGAAACTGAAACATCAAAAATAAAATAAATGAAAAATAAATAATGAACGGTTTAAAAAAAAGAAGATAATAATGATGTAGATAATGTACTGAAAGGTGAAAGTTGATTCGGAAGGTCCTAGGTAGCAGTCATCACACCACTCTTCTCAGCAATCTACGGTATTGATCAGATAAAAGTATAATAGAATCGTTGGTCGAAGACATATTTACTCAGGTTAGGCTACGCCCAACCATTTTATTATTTTTTTATCTGATCAATACCGTAAATTGCTGAGGTGAGTGGTGTGATGACTGCTACGCAGGACCTTCCGAATTATTTTTTAGCTTTTAGTACATTATCTACATCATTATTATCTTTTTTTTTAAACCGTTCACATAAATTTTTACTTATTTCATTCACTAAATCTCATTCTAACTGCGTTGATGAATAACGGTGGTATATTGTATCCCTCAACTAATAATTCATTATGAGATTTTCACTGCTCAGTTTACAAAAAAACCAAACGTGTTTCACTATTCAATAGCTTTTTCAGGCGTGTAGTCAAGTGTGACTTGAATGAGTTATGGATTTTCATCAAGTATCGGCCAATTCCAACACAATAGGTCCTGTTAAATGTCTGTCGAAAAACTACTACTTTCCCAGCTAATACCGTGCTGGACATTGAATTATATACGACAGACATTTATGCAAGACACCATTTATAACATTTTGTATCTCTCATTGTAAAAGTTGTTCAAATACGTAAAAAGGAACCTAAAAAATATAATTATTTCTATTTTCTGTTTCGAATAATTTATATAATTTATATGAAAAAATATTCATTGAAGGGTACCAGAACTTATTTTTTCTGCAAAAATATTTTTTGATGTTTTCTTTTAAGTGAATAGAAAGATTCTTTAGAATTACTCACCTATCACTCAGATCACTTTTGTCATTTCAATTATTTTTTGTTGAATTCTGTGTGACAATTAAAATCACTTACAATTTTTCGAATTAAAACTGTGGAATGAATAGAAACTAGTTTAAGTAAAACAGTCCAAAGAAGCAACTTATTAACGAATTGGAAAATATAATTTGATTGAAATAATTGTCTTTGTTTCAGACATTTTTCATTATGTCATTGAAATTAAAGATAGAAAACTATAAACCACAATG